TGGAAAATTATGTCCTAGAATGGACAGAAATAAGGTTTTCGCTTAATCAAAGCAAAATACAATGTTAAGAAAAGACATTTTTTAATATTATTGTAATTATACTTTCAGTGTCCTTTTCACGGTAAAATAATTCCGAGAGACAGCAATGGTAATCCTGTTGAAAATGCAGAAGAAAAAAAAACCGTTGATAAAACTTCTTTACCAGATTGGCAAGATCCTAATTTATTAGCAGATATAAAGGTAAGAGAGTTTTTTTATAAAAATTAAATTTAAAATACAATATATAATAGTTTTTTAAAAAAAAAAAAAAAAAAAGTCAAAAATTATAATTTTTTTTTCTTTAGGCTGCCACAGGATTCGATTTAAAAATGCCTGATAAGAAAAGAAAAAATAAAAATAGTGAAAATGAAAATTTAACTCATAAAAAAATGAAAACGAGTGCTGCGGCATTAAAAATAGCTAAAACTAAAAATTATCCCGGTTTGGTTGATGTTGTTCGAAAACAAAATGATGTTTATACCAGATTATCTAAAAAAATATTTAATAAGTAATTGAAAAACGATTATTATTATCCATTGTATAAAAAAAAACTTGAAAATATTGTTTTTATTTTTAACCTTTTTATTTATTTTTTATTTTTTTTAGATCATCTTTAAAAAGAGTTTCATCGACTCTTGATAAAATTGACAAAAGGAAATATTTAGACAAATTTGGAGACTGTTTTAATTATTCATAACATTATTAATACTTAACTTTAATTAGTAATTAAAAATACAAAGGAAATCCTGTAATTATTTAATAATTTATATAATATTATTTTTATTTTTGCTATTTGTAAGAACTTTTACAAATTTAAAAGATACACACACATTGTATTTTGTTATTGTATATTTTTTTTTATTGATATTAATTAAAGTATTAAAATCAATTTGACGTCATCAGTTTAAAATTTTTTAATTGCACAAAATGAAATTTTTAAATTACACAAATTATGGTTGCAAAATATTTTACGAAATTAAATTAAAAATAAGATAATTAATTAATTAAGATTATTTAAAGGTTAAGTTTTATGATAAAAATAATTAAAGACAAAACACAAATCGAACATCAGTTTTTTTGTTTTTTAATTACTCAAAAAAGGTATTAACAATACATTTTTAACATTTTCTGCACGAGGTACCTGTGACGTCATGCTTTTAAATTAATAAATTTTAATAACAAAAAAAAATCAATGAATTAATTATATATACTTTTATAAAAAAAAAAATTTTTAAGTAAGTATATTAAAATTATTGTACCCGTTATATTATTTTTTTGTTTAGGTTCAGTTAATAAATTTTAAACAGCTGTTTAAAGACTATTACGGGTGAGACAAGTTTTATGATAACATAAATTTTGTTGAAAAACCGCGAAATATTATTTTTAAATAACCAAATGAAAAAGCCGCCATTACATCACGTGATATCCGTGAATAGGCCAAAAGTGTGTTTTTTGTGCCACATGTATTATAATATGCTATAACAATTTTATAAGTAAGTACGTATTGATTTATGGAAAAAAGTTTTAAATAACGATTAAAATGTGCAATAAATAATTTATAAAACATTTCCAATGAGAGTTAATTTTTAAAAAATAAAATCAATGAAATTTTAAGAATGTCGAGTCCTTGAAGTTATGATTCAAATTAAAATAAAGGTGTTTTTATGTATGTCCAATTTGAAAACATAAAATAATTTTTTATGTATTTTTATCATGAAACAATTACTTTATGAAATAAGAAAATATTTATGAAATATTTTCTATATATTAAATCTGGATTTTTTTTAGAGAAATTTTAAAAAAATGTTGGGCATATTTCCAAGTTAAAGATAGCGTTATTTTAGCAGGATTTGATTTGGCACCGGTATTTGACCTTTTTCTTGTTTTGCAATTAACATATGGCTAGAATTATGTATTTATCATAAATTTATTTATTGTTTAATTACACATAAAGAATAAACTAACGTGTTTAAATTTGATTTTTTTATTTAAATAATATATTTCAAGGTGGAATTATGCATGAAAGTAATTGAAGACAAAGTAATCAAAACAGTAAAATATTTTTTTTTATTTTTTATCTTTTTCGAATTTATAATTCTATTATTTCCCCACTTTATCATACAATTAATTACATAGAATTTTAAATGAATTGTCAAACATGATTAATATTATAATTTATTATTGTTAAATAAGAAAATCATACATGAGAAATTTTTACCTTTTTTTTTTTTTATACCTGTTTTTTTCTTTAAAAAAATTTTTAATGCATATATTTAAATTTTTAATTTATTTTTTGTGCTTTATTTCAGATTAATAAATATTTTTTTTTGAAACCTGAAATGGAAACATATTTCGAGAGTTTCCAAGAAAATGAACATATTTCAGATAGCTCATTTATGCCTTTACCTGATGTAAGTCGAAATTTATTTTTTTTTTCATATTAAACAAAGTTAATCCTTTATATTTATTTTTAAATGCTTTTTTTTTTTTATTATAAAATTAAATTATTTATTCTAAATACAGATGATAATGCTTAATTAATATTGTTAAAAATTAATTTTGTAAAATATTAATAAAATTTTTAATGTTTAAATTTTTACTTTTCACGCTTCGAAAAAGTTTTTTTTTTATTTATTTCTTTAGTTTTTATTAATTAGAAATAATTTATTATTTAATTTGAGTTGTTGACAATGCAAAATAATTTTAAAATAAATATTTGATAACAAATTTTAAATTGCAGGATGTAATTAAAGACCAATTAG